TGATCAAGATCTGCTCCCTCTACTTGAAGACCAAAGAGCTGAACTTCTCGTGGGAAAAGCGGAAAAGTATTGGCTCAGAGAATTAGAAGAAAGGAAATTAAGAAACAAGAAACCACGTCTATGGAAAGCATTGGTTGCCATTATTCCTTGGAGATCAGCTATGACAATGTTAACTTTACAAGTTCTCAGGTCTCTGAGCTTTTCCCTGCTGCCATTATGTCTGTGGCTTTTGTTAAAAGTTTTAAACGATGGGCCAGAACTAAACATGAAGTTAGCGTTTTCCTATGTGGCACTCTTAAGTGCAATGAGTGTGGTACAAGCTGTCACAACACAACACTATGACTACCTTACAGAGCTGTGGGGACTAAAATTGAAAGTGGCGTTAACAGGACTTGTTTACAAGAAGGTAAGGTCGTTTATTGTTTAATCGAATAATGAGTAGCTATGACTAAATAGGAGAGTTGGCACTTTTTGGGATGAGCTGGATTTGTGACTGTTTTTTTCTGTGGGACATTTAGAATATCCGAATACTATAACACCTACAGTAGCTATCTAACAACAGCACATAACCACATGAAAAGTGAGAAAACAGCTATAATATTCAATTTATTTCTTGACCATGCTATGGGATGATTTACCCGCACAACTGAACACATGACAAAGCCACTACATACTTGCCTTTATTGTGGATAACTTCGATTTACTGCTGAATTTCTGAGTCTATAAGGCTAAGAACGTTTATGTTCTTTAATCAAGGTCAATGCGTCAAATTAAGTCTTTAATTAAGTCGCAAACTTAGTTTTAATGCCCCTCAGCATATAACGGAATTAGTGCCATTAAAATACGTTAAATTTAGCTTTGACAAGGTTGAAAAGGGTCGATGTTTATTGCTCAAAAGGGTTCCTTAAACAACGACCGGAATGAAGCAATTACCTTTTTTGGCTATACATAGGACTTTTATCCAAAAATCCAAGTTTCTGATTCGTTTGAATTAATTGGTCACTGGGGTCAGTGCTGGGAAATTATTTTTTCCCCTAACTAACATGCACAGTTTTGTTAAAGTGAAGAGTGTTTTGAGTCCTCCCTAGTACTGTTGTGCAAAATGGGGAGTTCAGGCACAAACACAACACTGTAAATCGCTTTAGTTGTTTACGGTCCGATTTGAACAAGAATCGTGGGGACAATTAGAGCTTTTCGGCTGATTGATTAAAATAAATTATCCCATGTAAACGTTGGAAGCTGGATCGGTCAGTAACACTTCTTCGGACGAAAATAGTTCTGTGTTTTCTGAGGTAAAAGAAACTCTTTCAATTTGTATAGATAATCACATGATTTCGAGTGCAATTTGGAATAAATAAGCACGAGTAATTTTTTTTAAAGACTAACAAAATTGCACGAGCCCGCAGAACGAGTGCAATTTGTGGTCTTTGAAAAAATTAACAAGAGCTTGTTTATTTCAAATTGTAGTGATTACGTGTTAATAATATACATGGAAAAATACGAGATGGCTTATCATAATTAAGCATAAGCAAAGCGCGCGCATCAAGTGCCAAAATAATTTATTCAAACGTGAGTTCGGTCAAAACAACCGCGTACGATCAAAACAATGATATGCAATGATATCTTCACATCTTCAAGGCGCAAAAAAGTCCAAAGTCCGGCTAAACAGTTC